TATATATATATATATATATATATATATATATATATATATATATATATATATATATATTATTTAAAATAATAATGGGGGGAGTAGAGTAAGAGGAAATGGTGAAGTGGGGTAAAAAAATACTTTATACTTTATTTTATAATTTTTAAAAAAATACTTTTTCTAGTTTAATTGTGCGAAAGCTATTCTTTTTAGTTTATTTTTAAAAACATCTTTATAAATTGAAAAATAGGTTGATCTGAATTTATTGTTAACCCTTAATGAAAAGTTTAATTTTATAAAAAATCATATTCCAAACCTTTAACAATCCTAATCATGGCTTGAAAGTCATAATAATTAAATTTGAGCCTAATTGAATTTAGTTACACGTTTAATTGAGAAGAAATGGTTATACTTTTCAACTCTGAAGGGAAGATTAAGAATTGTATGTTATTTATAGATGCAATTATAATTTATAAGGTAATCTTTTTAAAATTCTTCCTCTCTTTTTTTTCAAATATATTTTTCATAGACAAAGCAAACTTTTTCTTACCTTCCAAAATTTTGCAATTGTTAGCACTCCACGTATGTACTCTTTCAATGTTTTTTATACCAAATTTTTGTCTTGTATTTCGTGTAATCATATAATTGCTAATCAAAAAAATGCAAATAAAATTCTGTTTTTTTGTCTAATAGCTAACTTTAATTTCGTGGTAGGATAAATTAATCCATCATTAAAAAAAATTATAAATCAATTTAAGTAACAATAATATTGTTTAATTGGAAGCTTCATATTGACTTTTTTTTTATATATATATTCTAGTTATAATTATTGAATATATTTTTACCAAAAAATATTTATAATTTAGACAAACTTATCTACATGTTTAATAACCGTATAATTATATTTGTTTTACCCAAATAATTAATTTATTTTTTTAAAAAAATACATTCTAACGACCTATGTAATTATCAGATTGTGTAATTACTAATATTACAAATGAGCGGGTAATGACACATCATTTTTTCAAATAATAATATATTTAAAATCACAAACTTTAATTTTTTTTTTTGTAAAAATTGGTAACCAAGTAAAAAGGTTCACATGAATTAAAATTGATGAGTATTAGTAGTTATCAATTTAGACTTTTCAATATTTTATATATCTCAAATAATAATATATTTAAAATCACAAACTTTAATTTATTTTTTTTTGAAAAATTGGTAACCAAGTAAAAAGGTTCACATGAATTAAAATTGATGAGTATTAGTAGTTATCAATTTAGACTTTTCAATATTTTATATATCACATTACAATATGCCCTTTTACATATTCAAAACAAGTCCTTTATCCTTGCCTATATAAACACCAATCTTTACCATTCAACAACACCCTCAAATTTATTTAAAACCCCTATACACACAAATAATGTTATAACATATTAGATTTGTATCATATTCTTTCTTCTTTTTTTTTTGTAACAATGGGTAGTGGAGATCACAAACACCACCATCACCATTTGAATTTCCATGTTCAAGTGCATCTACCTCACATCCATTTTCACCATCACCATCATCATCAACACGAACATGGTATAAAAGAAATTATGGGCATCCCAAAGGGGTGTCTTCCAGTATTGGTAGGTCATGATGGAGAAGAACAACACAAGTTCATAATCCCAGTGATATACATCAACCATCCACTTTTTACACAATTGTTAAAAGGTAATGAAGAAGAATGTGAACTTCATCATGATGGACCTATGAATATCCCTTGTCATGTCGAAGAATTTCGATACGTTGAAGGTATGATCGACAAAGAAACTCATGCCACCGGACATCATAACCACCATGCTTGGTGCTATAAGGCCTGAGGTTTACGAGTTTAACTTCTATATAATAAAAAAGCTTAATATTCATCTTATACTATAGTAATGGATATGAGATATATCCAACGTATGTTTGTTATCTAGCTATAACTACTAGGGTTGTGTTTTTTTTGGGGGTGATTTATTAAGATCGTTCATTATTGTATACCTTGTGTTTATGCTTTCATGTGGTCGTATTTGAGGAAATAATCTCTTGTGGTCACTAAAAACTTGTGTAAAAAAAAAAGTTACAAAACTATAAAGAGATCTTACTTGTTGATTTTGTAAATTGTTATTGAAAAAACTTACTATATTGTTAGTGAAAAAACTTACTATATAACAAAAGAAAAATACAAGATTATAATTGAAAATAAAATGAAGAAAATAAATGTCTTCAAGGTTGAGGCGCGGATATCTCGCTCTTTTTAAGGAGATTCAAACCCACTGCAACAAATGTTTTTCACCGGTTACACAAAAGATAACTCAACAACTCTGGACAAGAGTTGAGTCTAAAGCTCCATAAAAAGAACACCTCCCTTCAACTAATAAAAAACTTTCTTTTTTTACTAAACTCTTTCACTCTATATTTTTCTCTTGTTTGTTGTGTGTACCAGACCAAATGAAGACCACCACTATTTATACTACAAGAAGTCTCCCTAACAATGAATAGGAAGATAATGGAGATAGTAAATAGTGAAGATAATGGTCTTTGGAATTTCATAGGTTACATATGTTACAATAGGAGTTACATAGGTTAAAAAGAGTAATGAAGGAATTAAAAATGAAATAAAGTGATGAATAACAAATGCTAATGGATGATTGTAGAAGTTATCCATTCAAATGTTTATTGGAATGTTTTTATCTCACAATGAATTCAGCCAGTAAAGCCAAAAGTAATGGCATTACATGGCTACCAAGTCAAAGATGAATACCATGATTAAATGAATAGCTTAAGACACAAATGTCTACCAACGGTCATTCTTATAACTTCGAAATATTAATATTAAAATGCTAATAACATAACAATCCCCCACTCATTTTAATATTTAGATAAGAGAGTATATTAGTTGAAGGAAGACTACTATGCATAATGAAGGTGTGCTCTACATTGAACCTCCAGTTAGTGAAACAGTAATTTTTACTCCAGAGTCGTAGTAGTCTCAGACTTGAACTATGACTGCTTCAGGGAAATAGAATATCATTGCTCATACATAATAATCAAGGTGTTGACATAAGCTTTAACAACTAGTGTTGACATCCAATTTTGACTGACCTTTAACCAATTTTAGAAATGTTATTCAATTAATACGTATTTTAAAGTTTAGTTAAAATTTAGAATTTAGTCGATTTTGCTTGAAAAAATTATGTATTCTAGTATGTTATTAATGAATTTCAAATGTTTTATAATTTAAATGATTTTCAATTATATAAAAATATTTTAATATATGTAGTATTTTAATTAAATAGTAATTTTTACACTTTCTTTAAAATTATTTAAATTCTAACCTATTCTATTATAATTTCTTTCAATTCTAGCCACTCCAATTAAATTTTATTTCAATCATAGCCGCTCTTTCAATTCAATTCTATCCAAATTTCTATTGCAATTTTGGTCATTTCATATCTTTTCAATTTAATTTCAAGACTTCATTTATTAATCTCGTCCGTCCGTTTAAATAACTAAATCCTTGATCGAATCCTACCCCTTCATCTTGCATCAAATCAATGGTCCATATTTAATCTTACCTATTCTAACCTAAAAAGAGCCTAATCCTTAAAAAATGTCATTCTCTTCTCCCTCCCCTCTCCTTGGCAGCCGCCAGCCCTCCTCTCTCTTTCTTCCCATTCTTTTCGGCGAAAGCCACCAATTGCCGGTGGACTCTCTCTCCCTCGCGCCTCCCCCTTTGCTCTCTCTTCTCTTCTCTTCTCTCTTCTCCTCCTCCCTTCTTCTCCGTCTCCTTTCCCCGTCGCTGGCAGCGGTGCTTGGCGAAGGACAGCAACGGCAGCCAGCAGCCCCAGCACCGCCCGTCTCTCCTCTCTTCTCTCTTTCCTTCTCTCCTCTTCTCCGGCGAATAGTGAGAAACCAGCCCCTCCAGCAGCAAAAAACAAAAGCAGCAGCAAGCTTTAGCGAAGAAAACGACCGCCAGCAACGCTGACAACGAGCAACCAGCAGCAAGATCGACCTCCGGCGAAGGCAAAGTTCGGATGGATCTATTCAGATCCGTCTTTGGTATTTCTTTTATCCATTATTACTTCGTATATCCAATTCTCTTAGTTTTGAATCTACCATATTTTCCTATTATTCTAATATGCTTATTATAACTTTGATATTTAAGATATACGTTGATTCGTATATTTAATTTTTTGGGTTGATAATTATTTAATTTTTGTATTTGTGTTAACTTTCTAGTGTTCTAGTTCATTAAGTTGGTTGAGAACCTTACATATTATCCCTCCTTAATTGTTAATTGGTGCATTTAGCTTGCTTAATAAGGGTAGATTATTTGATAATGTGTCAATGTGATTATAAGATTTTTTTTTGAGTATATTTGATTTAATGAATGATAATAATTGTAAGTATGTTATTTTATTATGATTGATTTTTTCTACATGATAGAATATGCTTAATTTAATCTATTAAAATTATAAGATAAATCTTTGCTCGTGTGATAATATGAAAAATAAGGAAAAGTTTCTTGTTTATTTTTTGGAAAATATTTACTCATTCTGAAAATATTGTTTTTTATTATTTAGCTCTCTTAAAATGAGAAATGTTAATTGATCTCCTTTTCCTTTAATGTTTGCCTAGATTGATTCTTACATATATATTGTTTTTTTATTATTTAGCTCTCTTAAAATGAGAAATATTAATTGATTTCCTTTTTCTTTAATGTTTGCCTAGATTGATTCTTATATATTTATTTATGGTAATTTATTATTAGATAAATGTTTGACCTTAAATTATTTCCTTGTCAAATTTAGTTGCTCATATATTTGGTAAAATAATAATAATAATTCAAAAAGCTGATTTTGCTAATTTTAACCCTTCTTTATTTTATATATATATATAAAATAATATTTCTCCCTATTTTGTCATTTTCTTGCTTGTTTTTATATGGTAAAAATAATTTAAAAAATAAATTTGATTTGGCCCTTCCTTATTGAAGGAATATATTACTCTTCCTTATTTATTCTTATTTGTTTATATTTTAATATTATTTTGGATCTTCTTTATTTAAGGAAAAATATTATTATTTTTCCTAACTTTTATTCTTACTAGTTTATTTTTGGTAATGAAATATTATTAAAACTTTCTGATTTTTAGCTTTTCTTCATTTAAGGAAAGAAAATATATTACTCTCTTTTAATTTTTTCTTGACTTGCTTATATTTGGTAAAAATTATTTAATTTTTTTTTGATTTTGGCTCTTCTTTAAAATAAGGCAAATGATATTATAATTGATTCCTTTAAATATTTATTTTCCTTATATGCTCCTTCCTCTTTACTATAAAATAGGACTTATTTTAATATTAGAGGAAGACACTTTCAACAAAACTCAATAACAAGCTCTCTCATTCCACTTTCCTCTCTCATTCCCTCTTTGTTTTTTTTCTTGAAATACTTTAAATATTACTCTCCTATTCTTAAAAAAAAAAGTAAGAACTCTTGCAAATCTTTGAATCATCCTTTGGACTCTTTCTTGCTGTGTTGCTGTTGTGGATCGAAACCTTACTTAATACTTCATTGCTGATAAAATTTTCTTCCTAAGTGGTTAGCCTACTATCTCGTTTTTGCATAATTATCATTATTATTGTTGAAAACAAAAGGAAGCATCCAAGATATTCTCTTATCCTTTCTCCCTATGTGTGGTAATATGTCTTCATTTATGCTTTGTCCCTTTTATTTCTTATGTGTGTTGTTTATATATGTACATATGAAAGTAATTTGTTACTATACACATTTTTATATTACAACTATTTCCTCATCGTATATGTGTTACATTACCTCTTCTACCAGGTTTTGAACTTTAAGTTCAAGATGTTGAAGATTTGCCTAGAATAAAATTATGGACGAAGCCTCGTTCATTTTATTGTTATATGTATGTTTATTCGTTCTTTATTTTTACTTGTAATGTTTGTACAACTCTTTAACTATATATATATAAAATGAATTTAGGGTATCATCTAAGCAGAGGGGGATTATATGCAAATTTAAAATATTTTTTTTTGTGTTAGAAAAAATGCTTATAGGATTGAAATATTTTTGCTTCATCTATACGTGTTGTTTTAACTTTTCAATCGCCTAAAATCATAGGAATCATAAGTTAATCTCTAGTATGCTAACTTATGTTAAAAGGAGCAAGAACTTTAATTGTCAATTTGTCCCTTGTTTGTTAATATGAATTCTTATTAATAAGTTTCAATATGTTCACTTACAAATCATGCATATAGAATTTAGTTAAATAAGATTGTGCATTAAAGTCACTCCCTAATAATTTTCATCATGTTTTACTAGACAATCCATTAAAATTTTCAACTCTATGAAAAAGAGCAATTTTCAGCATACATTATTATTTTGTGTTTCTTCCTAAAAAATTGTCAAACTAATTTGCCTATAAAAATCTAGAAAAAAAAAATAGTTAATATTTTTCTGCATCATACATCTTTTGCATCTAAAATATGCTATTAATTATTTTTTTCATTGTAATTAATTTTTGCCTAAAATATATATTTTTTACATTAATAATTAATCTGTAAATCCATCAATATTCTAAAAAATAATTTTTTGCATTAATAATAAATTTTTCACTTATCTAAAATTTGTTGTATTCAATAATAAATTTATTGTTGTTCTTAAAAAACAATCTTTTCCTTAAATAAATAAAATCTGGTGTCCTTAATATAATTTTCTGCATTAATAATAAATTTGTCACTTATCCAAAATTTGTTGTATTTAATAATAAATTTATTGTTGTTCTTAAAAAATAATTTTTTTCCTTAAATAAATAAAATCTGGTGTCCTTAATATAATTTTCTGCCCTAAACAAATTAAGTCTTTTGTTATAAAATATTATTTTCTACCATAATAATTAATTTGACTACTATTTTTATATATATGCATGTGTAATCACATCCTTTGCTATACTTGGAAATCAAGCAAAAGTTATTATGTCATTAATCATTGCTCACTCTAAAATTAGTTAATACTAAATTTTACATCCGTGTTATCATATTTGCCCTCTCATAATTAAATTGTCGTTACTATAATTTTCTGTTTGTATGTTCACACACTTAGCATGAAACCTTTCACAATTATGTGTTGTTTGCAAGCATTCTAATTAAAATTTAAAGGCCTAATTGAGACTTGTATTGCTAAAATGACCGTCTTGTTTGACTTGTTTGTTTGACTTGGTGTTTAGGAGGTCCTTATATTCTATTTTGTCTAAACCTACCCTTTAAGAGTCCAATGCCTCTTGGACATTAAACTGAGACAACTAGACAACTTCTAGGTACAAAATGCATGTGGTGGTTGGGTAGTGGTAGTTGGCCCTATGGAGTTGATGACATCGACTCAGGCTTGAAAGACAAAATTTTGATTTTGTCTGTCCTTATACGGAAGCCTATCGGAAAAATAAAAATAAAAGTCAAGTGTTGATCCAAAAAGTCTCTTAAAGTCTCGCTTCCCTTTTATCCCTTTACTTGTTTGTTTTAAATTATATTTATTTGGATAGATTAAAATAAAAATAGTAAAATTGTTTGCTTATTTGTTTGTCTCTTTTCTATCCTCTCGCTTATCTCTTTTTAATTGTTTAGTATATCTATTTTATTGTTGTCACTTAGTCTCGCATGTTTAAATATAATTAAGATAATAATGAGCTATTTGATTTAACTTGTTGCTATATCACCTAGTCTCACATGTTAGATTAATAAAAATGATTTTAATCGTTAATATTTGCTATCACCTAGCCTTCATTAATTAATTGATCAAAATAATAAAATGATCATTTTGTTTCATATTTCTTATCATCTAGAAAGCATGCTACTTAAATAAACTAATAAATGAAGTGATCTTATTTGCTACTTGTAACCCTCACATAGATTGCATAAGATACGGACGACACCCACATTTGTGGATCTCGAGGGATGCCTAACACCTTCCCCTCGAGGTAATTTGAACGCTTACCCCGATCTCTGGCCCATTGATCTTAGCTAGACTTAATTAGATTAGATAGATGCCCTGACGCACCTTAATTCGTTAGGTGGCGACTCCAAACTCAAAATCCCAAAAGAGTTGTTAGGTCATGCACAAAACTCGTTTTTATGAAAAATGAGGCGTGACAAAATGACGACTCTGCTGGGGACATTAGCTTCTTACCATTACGTGTTTCGTGCTTATTTATGTGGGGTTTACTTTATTTTGGTTATTTCATTATTTGTTAGGTGTTTATCATGTTTAGTTGTCATTTTGTTGCCTTATTTACTGTCTTTTTTCCATGTCTCACCCCTTCCCTCTCCTTAATTGTTTATTACCATGTTTCACCTATTTTCTTTTCCCCTATCTGTTTACTTACATGTTTAATATCATACCTTATTTCCTTATTTGCGTGATTTTTTAATATCCTTATATGTTTATTTTCCTCTATTTATTTATGCTTATTTATTTATTGTTTATAAACTGCCTATATGTTACCGCTTTCCAATTTAAATGTTAAGTGTTTATTGCTTTGATAATTGACATTCGGCTCATACTTCCCCAATTGAGACCCTCTTCTTTTTTTTAATCTTTGTTCTTGTGATGTTGTGCCTTTGCACCTCTCGCAACTACTCAAATTCTATTCAAATACCCATTATAGAGAGTCGGCATATGCGTGGACGTAACAGATAGTTTTACTATCGCGAAACCACGAGCCTCTCGCATAGAATCCATTTCAAGTCCGTGTCAAGCCAACTCTTAGAAGTCCTGGTTAGGTCATACATGCTGCATAAGCCCTAGGTGGTTTTACCATTGATGTCAATCTACAAAATAAGTAGCCACTCTCTCGTCTAAAGGGCCCCAACACCCTTTAGACAAATTGCATACTTGTGTGTCAACGTGATCATAATAATTAAATCAAGCCAACTTTGCGAAATGGAAGTTTAGAAGTTCTTTATTATTTTGTTTGCAGAGTCATGGATGAGTATGAAACCCCAAACCCTCAAATAGTCACAGAAGTGAATTAGAGACTTAAGA